TGAAAAATCTCAGTTCTTCAGCCAGTGGGGTCCAAGCAGTGGGAAAGGCCGATACAGTTCCTGCCGCCATGATAATTGATTATGATTATTATTTTTTTTTTCTGTCCCCAGGTAGCTTGCTTTGAGTGGAGTGAAACAATGGGGAATTGATAACATCAAATGCTCTGAGCGGAGGAGGAGGAAGACAAGCTGCTTGCCTCGGGTTTCGGGGACACATCGCAAGGGGCGCCTCCGTGAAGGTGAGAGCTGGGGGATTCCAGCAACGAGAGGAGCTGATCAGGCGCCGTGCATTTACTGGCGTAACTGGCCCAGTCTATATTGGGGTAGTCATCAGACTTGTACCGAGTACGGAGTCCCCAAGTAGTTGGTATTGGCCCCTCCGTAGTCCCTTGGTGGTCCCTTAAGGCCCGTTTTTTTGCGGGGGAAAACCAGGATCCTGGAGGTTGCCGAGTGGGGGAAATGGATAATTTCACAAGCACGAGATGAGTGGCATTTGTGAAGGTTTGTCGGCAGGACATCGCATGGTCGCCCCTCTCCGATCGGTGCTCTTGCTATCTCGGTCCTGCTGCTTGGGGTCACGACGAGGAGAAACTCTCTGATGCTCGACCTATCCCCACCAAGATCCATGGGGATGAGGAGCAGACCGAGAACAGTCGGTTAAGACGAGGAGGGGTTGTGTTGTTGATTCGCAGTTCCAGTACATATTACTAGAAGGATTCTCCCTCGAAGGTCTAGCCATCCATAAACTGTGTCGCTTGTGAGCCTGAAGTGCCTGGATATCAGAAGTCTCTTGTACCGCGCATAATATAGCACCTCCTAGCTCTTAAGTGTCTTTATTCCCGTGCAGGATGCCTGGCCGACTTGAAGGTAAGGTGGCGATTGTCACCGGTGGTGGGAGCGGGTTCGGAAAGGCCATTGCGACCAAATTTATCCATGAAGGCGCCAAAGTTCTCATTGCCGAAATGAACCCAGCAAGCGGTGAGGCTGTGGCTAAAGAACTGGGGTGCGCAGCCATCAAGGCCGACGTGACCAAGCGCCAAGACTGGAAGAGTGTTTTGGACAAGTCGATTGAGTTGTACGGCGGCCCTGATATTGTGGTTAACAATGCTGGAACATGCTACTCGAACCAGGTAAGTTCCCCCTCAGTAAATGGACGATTGCATTCTGACCATGGTGACATCTAGCCATCCGAAGGCGTTCCCGATGACGAGTTCGATCTCGTTGTTGCTGTCAACTTCAAGTCGATTTATCTCTCCGTGGCGGTCATTATACCATGGATGAAGGAACATAAGAGTGGTGGCTCATTCATCAATATCGCATCCACGGGAGCCACGAGACCGAAACCACGATTGACATGGTATAACGGATCAAAGGCTGCTGTGTGCTGTGCTTCCAGGTCGCTGGCACAGGAATATGCCCCCAACAACATCCGATTCAATTCGATATGCCCGCAGTTTGCCAGCACGGGATTGTAAGAACCACAACTCGCAGCTATATTTCATCGTTGGCTAACGCAAGCTCTTCACGCAGGTCGCACAAATTCCTCGGCAAGGAGAACACACCCGAGAATCGAGCCTATTTCGTATCTTTGATTCCTCTGGGAAGATTGACCGATGTTACCGACATTGCCAATGGTTGCTGCTACCTGGCCAGTGACGAGGCGAGCTATGTTACCGGCACCGAGTTGATTATTGACGGCGGTCGAAGTGCGTAAAGAGACTAGGGAGACTATAGCCAATACACTCGGTGATATACTGTATGTTGAGGGAGCAATAACACAACTACCGACAGAATGACATGTCTAGCGACGTACCTACACCCTTGCACGTAACCCGTGTAATTCCACCACCCTGGTGTTGTGTACGATTTCCTCTGCATAGCAATAAATACCCACTGAAAAATTCACCGCTCAGAGCCATTTTCTGAGCGACTAATGGATACGGTCAATGCACGCACAAGGACCCTTTGGTTTACCGCTGACATGGCTCTCTGTGCTATCCTTACAAGGTACTAGTTCCCAATCCCCCATCGAAAAGACACACAACCAGGCTCACTTTACCCAGACTCAGTACTTGGAGAGGATCCGGCAAATTTCCGCTCCAGCCCCTTTGTCACTGGTGTCTTGTCCCCTCCTCTCCCCATCTTTTCCCCCTTCCCCACTCAATATCACCCCATGGCACAGGTTTGACAGGTATCCAGGACCCAGGACCTTGTACTCTGAAGGTGGGCTTCGTACGGTGTACGGACGAAGAAGAAGATTTCCTGCCATGCCGTGGCTCGAAGCTTGATTCTGGCCACGCAGCGCCCCTTCCGCCATGCCGAAGTTCGGGGCCTTGTCTGATACACCAGATTCGGTAATTGCATATGGGCTGATTATCGGAGTAGAAATATGCCTGGCTGACAGAGCCGTGGAGTCTTTGTTCCTATATCTCCTTCACGTTCCTAGCTTATCGGTGCCGTAACGTGGACCTGCACAAACACCTCCAAGATCTCGACCTTTGCTTCTATCCAGTAGTGTCATCTCACAGGCTATCATACCCAATTGACGCCGCACAAGTCTTCTTTCTGTCCAGAAAGATGGCGGCTGAAGAACGCAAAGGTTGGTTCAAGGACCAGATCAGACTTGTGAGCATTCTGGTAAGATAGACACTCCCAATCCAGCAGATGGCTCTAGTGACCTAACCGTCTATGCCGCCAGATCACAATCTTCATCTCTCTGGGCTCTTTCACCTATGGCTACTGCAGCTCCATCATCGCCACCACCTTGGGCCAACCCGACTTCTTCAAGTACTTGCATCTCGACACTGAAGGCCCCGGCTTGTCTCACACAAATGCCATCACTGGCGCCATGAATGGTTTGTTCCAGGCTGGTGGCTTCCTCGGAGCCCTCTCCATTGGCCCTATCTGCGATTGGTGCTCACGACGAGGTGGCATTGGCATTTCAGCTGCAACCTGCTTGGTGGGCGGAGCTCTGCAGTGTGGATCCGTCAACGTCGGCATGTTCTTGTTCGCTCGATTCTTGACAGGTATGGCCATTCCAGTCTCCATGGCACCTGTACAGTGGGCAAAATGCTGAGTATCGCAGGTATTGGAACTGGCATGATCGTCTGTGGAGTACCTCTATATCAGAGCGAGGTCTCTCCCCCCCATACCCGTGGTGTCTTTGTCGGAGCGCACGGAGCTTTGCTCTGTACTGGCTACTCGGTGTCTGGCTGGGTCGGCTATGGCTGTTTCAAGTACTCTGGACAGTTCCAGTGGCGGTTCCCACTTGCTGTGCAGTGCTTTGCGCCCTTGATGCTACTAGGCGGACTGTTTTTCATCCCAGAGAGCCCTCGTTGGTGTAAGTCGATCTGCCCACAAATGTGAACAGGAACCGCCATGCCTAACGCGTGTCACCCACAGTGGTCCTCCACGACAAACACGATCGCGCCTACAAGGTGATGGAGTGGCTGCACCGAGATCCTCGAGACCCAGAGGGCATCCTCGTCAAAGAGGAGTTCTATGCCCTGCTGAAACAACTGGAACTCGAAAAACTCCGTGGCGCCGGAGGGTACAAGGAGCTCTTTACCGGGTGGCCCAACCGCAAGCGTCTATTGCTAGGCTTCTTCACCGTCTTCGGCGGTCAGTGCACTGCAACCATTGTCATCAACAACTACGGTGTGATTCTGTACACGGCCCTCGGATACGTGGCACCGACCACTCTCGCCTTCACGGCCGGCTGGGTCACTGTTGGAGTTGGAGGGAATGCACTCTCGGCGCTGATTGTTGACCGCGTCGGACGTGTGAGGCTGTTAAGTGAGTTCGATTCCGCATTGGAAAAAAGGGATATGAAAAGCTAACCAAATATGTCTATCAACAGTCATCGGATTCTGCGGTTGTCTGATGGCGCTCATCGTCGAAATGGCCCTGCTGGCCACGTACAAGGGCACGACCAACAAGGCCGGGCTGGCGGCGGCCGTGGCGTTTCTGTTCATCCACGTCGGGTTCTACAGCTCGTGCGTCGACGCCGTCACGTACATTTACTGCACTGAGATCTTCCCCAACCACCTGCGCGCGCGAGGGTCGTCCATCTCCGTGTCGGGCCTCTTCTTCGCCACCGTCATCTACACCTGCGCCGCGCCGACGGCGTTTGCCAACATCGGCTGGAAATACTACATCGTCTTCGCCATCACCACCGCCATGACCGCCGTGGCCTGCTACCTGTGGTGGCCCGAGACCAAGGGCCTGTCGCTCGAGGAGATCAACGCCCTGTTTGGCGAGGAAGTCGCCGTCGACGTGGGCCACATGACCAAGGAGGAGAGGGATGCTTTGGACGAGAAGATCTTTGCTCAGACTCAGGAGATTGAGGGCATCGTCAGTCAGCCGGTGCCGGAACACACAAAGGCTTGATCTCTGTGAAAAGCCTTGTCTGCTCCGTCCTCCCTATCCTACAACGTATACCCGACTCGCAACATCCAGGATATTTCATCAGGCGAATAGATGTATGGCAGCTAGACTAGACTTTCTAGAGATACAGGGAGATTCATATGGCACGTACTAGATTTAGACAAGAGAGACCCCCCCTTTTTGTTTTGAAAGATGACTATCAGAAGGTCCAGTTGATAGTGTTCTTCATTAGAAAAAAAAAGAGGAAAGAGGACAAGGTATAACAGGAAAGAGCTCAGTCCATGTTATTCCTAGATCTTCTTGGTCTTCTCTCTTATGCAACAGAGACAAATGTTTTATATTACGTGGAGAATAAATAGTAGAGAATACTTATACGTACCCAAAGCGGGCTGGGGTAGCTGGATTCTCATCCTCTCAGTCAGAAAGGGAGGAAGGGAGTATCTCCTCATCACATAACATGACAACACCCATCACGCTACATTGATTACAGGAATATCATAGTATGTATACCTAGATACCCAGATTTGTAGATATGTAAGACAAATAACACTCATTTCCAGATCAACTCATCTCAAGTCAGTTCAACTCACATCCTCAATCCTGTACTACTACTCTCAGGTCTTCAATGGCGGCACCTCAATCCTCAACAACGGCGCGTGCTGCTGCGTGCCGAACGTGTCCCTCTCTCCCACGCTGCCCTGCAACTGATTTGCCGGTCGCTTGAACGTGCACTTCCACCCGAGCGCGGGCTCGAAGAACATACAGGTCAGAATGTCGTCGTCGCTCGCCAGGTGGTAGAGGTTCCTCATGACGTCCTTGGTGAGGACGGCGCTGTCGCGCACGTGCTTCCAGATTGTGGGGTCGTCGAAGAGGATGTCGAGCGTGATCTCGTAGGGGCCCGAGTTCTTGGAGCGCACGACGGCGGCGAGGTCGGCGATGCGGGTCGGTTGCGAGGGATCTGGGAGGGTGTGTTTCGCGGGGGCTGCAGAGTGGATGGTGAGCATGGGTGTTCATAGTTTTCAGGATAAACTCCTTTCTTTTCGGGTCTTGGAGCTAAACTTACCTGCGCTTACAGGAGTGGCTGCATCTCCAGCCTGTCGAACCGGCCGTTCAGACCGCACCAGCTTCGACCGCGATGCGTCCGGGCTGCCAATCACAAACGACTCGATCGGGAAGAAACTGAGCGGGTCCTCGACGTCCATCAGATGGTATACGCTAAACTTGTACACCGGTCCCACGGACTGCTCCAACGGCGTCAGCGGCGAGGCGAAGTTGCCCGCGGTGGCCAGTTGGCCGGGGTATTCGCCGTGGAGGATCATGACCCTGGCGTATCCCGCGACAGCGTCGGCTTCGTTTTGGGTCGCTGCGATGACTTCTCCCAGAACACCGATCTCATGGGGCACAGCGGTGGTGGCATCCGGATCGAGCGGGCCCATGACAGCGTTCTTCCCATAGATGTGGAATATCAATTGCGGACCATTCGCTTCGCCGAGTGTCGGGAACGCCGCTTTTGTCCTCGGCCGCACCGTGTGCTCGAGAAAGTCGTCGATGCCCCGGATGAGGATGGGGTCGCGAATGCCTCCGATAAAGGCGGAACGGAACCCGACTTGGGTAGCCCCTTCGAGTTTGATCTGGTATGTCGGCGTAGGCACAAACTCAGCCCCCTGGATGTGGATAGACCGGCCGTCCGCCTGCGGCTTAAATTGTACCTTGTCCAGATGTAAAACGCCACCCGGGCCAGGGAGCCTGTCTGGACGGGTTTTCTCGTACATGGTGTGCGCTGCCACAGAGCGGGGGATACATCGTTGGCCCGGTGTGATAGGCGTCAACTGAAAACTGTCCTGGTACATGGTCGCCAGGATCGAGCGGCCCTTGGGCACCGCGCACTGTCCGCCACACTCGACGATCTTCCCCATGTGCCACGCCGGATTGCGCTGGACGCCGCGGTGCATGCTGAAGGCTGCAAAGGGCGCCGGATCGTATGATCGCCCAGAGATGACAATATCCACATCCGGGTCTTCTAGTGCTTTCATAAAAGGTTCAGCGCCCATCTGCGCGACGATGGCTACGGCGTCCGACACATCTTCCTCCTTTAACGCAGGACCTGGGCCGCAGGGTGTGATGGCGCCCGCTCGTAGCTGGTTCAGTATCACCTCGCGGTCGTTCTTGAACTTGATGGTCGCCACCTTGAACCGGTAGCCCTTGCGCTCACTGATCTCGCGCACGATGTTGACCAGGATGTCCACCTGCTCGTTCGTGCCCGCGCCACCGGCGGAGCTGACGAGCAATTTAATACCAAAGTCGAAGCAGGCCTCGAGAATCGGGGTGAGGTCGTGTGCAAAGGCTTGTTTACTGACAATCGTCCGGCCACTACCCAGCATGTACGGGCCTGGGTCGGTGGAGCCGCTGTCTGCAATGATGGCGTCGGGACGGGTGTTTTCGTCCAAGATGGTGGTCCAGAAATCGACGACATCGTAGCCGTAGCCCAGCATGGGCGTAGGCGCGAAGATTTTGACGGGATAGTTTTTGGCAATCATGGCTGCTGATGTCTGTATCCCCTCTCTTACACAGCATGAATTCACATTTGTTCCTTCGTTCAAGTTCTGTCAGGGTCGAATTAAGGCCTGATCCGAAGGGCCGAGATCACCTGTCGCTTGGGGAGTATCGTATTCGACTCCGCTGTCGGAGTGGTTGGATGGTGTTGTCGAGGAGAGTCTCTGCATCTGGGGGATTCGAGATCGGACAAACTCAGCCTCGTCGGGCCCGACACCGGGCGAGGCTGTGACCCTGACGTCCCTCATTGTTGGCATCAGTCGGCGTAGCTTCGGAGGCGGTTTTCTTCATCTCCTTCACGATCTCCAAAAAGGACTCTGTCTCTGTCTCTCTGATAGCATGCTTTCACTATTCCCCCACTGAGACTCTCTCCACGTTGCTTGCATCTCTTACATTTGTCCTCACATACCATATTCCCCACTGGACTGGTTTCCCACTGGGACGAACTCAACCCGTATCGACCCCGGACTTCCTACCCCGGATTTCATCTTCCGCTCTGCACATGTTTGTGCGTGCATGCGTACCCTGGGCAAAGATTTGGGAACATGTGACGATGACCTTTTTGCGGTCCACGGCTAGACAGCCCGGAAGACTAGGTTGAGTGGATGATACCCCTCCAAGGGTGGCCCGGGAGGACCTTGGGCGAGGTGTCTGTCTCTACAATGCGCACAGGTGCCTACAGATGTTCGGTGGGGTTTTGGGAATGCACAGCTCAAGGCACTTCTCGTCTCCAGACCCTGACTGATTGACTGATTGTCCTGCCCTTTGGCTTTTTTGTTTATAGAGAAGAGGAGGAAACAAATACTCGTTTCCCTTGAATCCATATCGTCTCCTCACTCTGTGTCGCATTGGTCCTTTCATCTTCTCGTTATCGCTATCCAGTCACTTGTTATCACCTTCTTCCGTCAAACATGGGTTCTCTAGGCTCCTTCCAGCAGACCAAGTCGCTGGCCGACGTGAAAAACAAGAAACTACTACACTACAAGGGCTTCATTGACGGACAATGGGCCGATGCCGCCTCTGGGAAAACATTCGATTTGATCGATCCAGGCACAGGTAAAAGCACTACTTACCTCGACAGCCTCCGTTTCCTTTTTATTACACGCGATAGCAGAACATGGCAGACCTAACAGCTTGTGTGATTTCAAGGCGAGAAACTGGCCACATTCCCTGAAATGGGCGCGGCGGATGTCGCTCGAGCGATCGACAGCGCCTCCAAAACCTTTGTCACCTGGAAAAACACGTCGGGCCGCGACCGCGCGCGCATGCTGAGAAAGTGGAATGACCTGTGTCTGGAAAACACCGAGGACTTTGCCTTGATCATCACTCTGGAGACGGGCAAGCCGCTCTACGAGGCGAGGGCCGAAGTCATTTACGCGTGCAGCTTTCTCGAGTGGTTTGCTGGCGAGGCTGAGAGGTGCGATATGGATCCCCATGGAGCATGTGTCGCATCAATAACCCATAACGCGGGTTGTGCTGACAGTTTGGGATCACCATTAGGACGCACGGTGAAAACATCCTTACCGCCAACCGGAAACAGCGACTCGTCACGATGAAGCAGCCCATTGGAGTGGTCGGTTGTCTGATGCCGTGGAACTACCCCATGGCCATGATTACCCGCAAAGCCAGCGCGGCCATCGCTGCCGGATGCACCACCATCTGGAAACCTGCAGGCGAGACACCTCTCTCCGCTGGCGCCATGGCCGTCCTTGCCATGGAGGCCGGCATCCCAGCCGGAGTGATCCAGATCATCACCAGCTTGACCACCGTCGCGGAGGTGGGCAAGGAGATTTGCACAAACAAGCTGGTGAAGAAGGTCAGCTTTACGGGCAGCACGAGAGTGGGGAGGTTGTTGATGGAGCAGTGCGCGCCGACGGTAAAGAAGCTGAGCTTGGAGCTTGGGGGCAACAGTCCCTTTATTGTCTTTGACGATGCAGATGTCGATGTTGCCGTCGAGGCTGCCGTTATGGGTCAGCAGCACCAGCACCTTGGCCCGTCATTTTCTGTTCAGGAACGCTAATTTTACGGGATAGCCAAGTTCAGAAACACCGGCCAGACGTGCGTCGCCGCCAATCGAATCTTTGTGCAAGACGGCATCTATGACAGGTTTGCCAAAGCCTTGTCCAACACGATTTCAACTTTCAAGATCGGCCCGGGCACCCAGGTACCACAGCCTTGCCATGGTCTCGAAGATGAAACAAGGTATACTGATGAGGATTGCAGGATGGTGTCTTTGTCGGACCCTTGACTCACGAGAACGTACTGTCAAAAGTGCTGACTCACATCGAAGGTCTGATCTCATGACACAAACACATGGTGACCATCAGAATGATGCTGATCTTGATTTTGCAGAGGCCAAAAACAACGGAGGCAAGATCATCTTGGGCGGGAACCGAGTGGAGGGAACAAAGGGATACTATGTCCAGCCTACTATTATAGCAGGTCAGTTATCTCGTTGACTCTGGAGGGAGCCTCCCTAGCCTCACTCTCTTCCGGTCCCTGGCAAGATACTAACCAGACCGCCACTGCGAACAGATATGCCCCGCGGCACCATCACCGAGCGGGACGAAGTCTTCGGCCCCGTCATCCCCCTATACCGCTTCCACACCGAGGAGGAAGTCATCGAACTGGCCAACAACGTCGACGTCGGGCTCGGCGCCTTTGTCATGACGTCCAGCATGCCCCGACAATGGCGCGTGACTGAAGCTCTCGAGGCAAGTTGTTTCTTCCCCTGCCTCTACTAAGACGACTTCATTCTTTCCCCTTGTTGGATACTCTGCTGACAGCATATGACCTTTTGTCACTGTGTGTGTACAGGTCGGTGTCGTCGGTGTAAACATTGGTCTCCTCTCAGCCGCAGAAAACCCCTTTGGAGGCGTGAAGCAGTCCGGTTTCGGTAGGGAGGGTGGACGTCAAGGGATTGACGAGTACCTCGTTCTCAAGAGCATGTTTTTAAATGTTGCGAGTGGTTGAAGTCGAGTCTCAGGAGAGGGATTGGAGAGCCTGGAGCAGGCGATATACCTACATACCTACCTAGGTACCGAAATATCTGTCACAAGTTCCTGTAGATATCTCTGGCAGAGCACAATACAAGAGGTGTTTGAGAATTGTATACCTTGTTGGTTGGCGTTATCGTTTCTCTACGGGGTAATGTAGGTAATGTAGGATGCTTCTCGATACCAAGGGAAATGCTAGGGTACCGAGTGCCCATGAGAAGAGAAATGATCTGTGCAACTGAGCATATATCTCTTCGCCATACACACTTTCTGACTACAGTGACTTTACTTCTGAAGGTTGAACCCAAAAGGCAGCACATGGCAATATCAAACATAATCTTTCAATTTTACGTCTCTATATTCTCTCTACTCAGAAACCCCCTTTCAAAGTAGCCCCCCCAGCGGCGGCATCAAACTCTGCGGCCTCGTTGATCCCGACGACCCTAAAGATATCGTAGATACCCCCGGCCTTATCCTCCCTCTCGGTGACAAAGCCCGTGTCTCGCAGCTCGGTCATGGCGCGGCGGGTCGAGTTGTACACCTCGGTCAGCGACAGGATGGACCAGATGACGATCTTGAAGCCGATCTCTTTGGCCTCGGCGGCGGTGATGGCCGGGGTGACGCCGCCGTGGACGATGTTGAGCAGGCACGGGATCGGGTGGAGAGCCTTGACGGCGGCGCGGGCCTGTTCTTTCGAGACGAGACCCTCGAAGAAGGCGACGTCGGCGCCGGCCTCGTGCGCGGCCTTGAGGCGGCGGATCGCCTCATCAAAGCCCAAAGACTGCAGCGAGTCGGTGCGCGCGATGATGACCAGGTCGCGGCCCGAGGCTTCGCGGGCCATGCTCGCGGCGCGGATGCGCGTCAGGTACGTCTCCAGGGACACCAGCTCCTTGTTGCGCAGGTGGCCGCAGCGCTTGATGAAAGCCTGGTCCTCGATGTGCAGCGCGGCCACGTTGCCCTCGATGTACGTCTTGGCCGTGCGGGCCGCCGACAGCGACGAGCCGAAGCCCGTGTCCGCGTCGGCGATGACGGGCACCCTCCAGTCCAACCCGGCGATCATGCTGGCATTGGCCGCCATCTCGACCATGTTGATAATGCCCAAGTCCGGCGAGCCCGTGCGGGACGCCGCCGTGCCCGCCCCCGTCATGTACAGCGCGTCGAAGCCAATGTCCAGGGCGATGCGGGCAGTGTAGCCGTCGAAGACGCCGGGGCAGATGACGATCTTGTCCGGGTCGTTGATCATTTCGCGGAGGATGGTGGCGGCCTGTCGAAATGGCTTTTTGCCGTCGCCACTCTGCCTTGTCGTCCAGGCCATGGTTGGCGTCGAGCGTGTGAATAGGTTTTACAGAGAAGAGAAGGTATACGGGAATGTCCAGACCAGCCAGTCCTCAGAGGCTCAGAAGCATTCAATTCTCGTTCCAAAGACTTGTATCACGAGCGTTCAGCACGACACACGACACGACGCGATCGATACACGCGATACGAGTTCCCTCCAGTTCTCTATCTACAATAAAGAGTAATCGACCAGGTGACCCTGTGCGCGACTGATTTTATGCAACCTGTACCCAAATACTCGGTTCTCCATCTCCTCCTCTTAACTCTGTATTTTTGTACAACGAACCGTGATTCGCAAATGCAAACGCAAACCGCAAACCGTAAACGCCAGAATAAGCGACTTTGTAAACAACACTCACTCCGTTCTCACTCTCCCCTCATCCCCACTGAGTGGGAAAAGGAGGAGTCGAGTGGGGGAGAGAAGACGACGGGCACAACGGCCAATACCGTGGCTTGCAGATCCTAGATCCCGGCATAAGCGAGGCGCGAAGCTAGGATGCGCTTGAAAGAAAAACCCCCCCTCCGATACTGGCGCAGATCGACAGAGGAGCGATCGGATGGTGCGAAGACGGATGGACCCTTGCGATTTCGGGGGTTGGGGCTTCTTGGGGCCGCTATTTAGAGGGCCGATCGGAGGTTGAAAGCCAAGTGGCACCTTGGGGACGATGGAATATGCTGGGTATGGGATGTTGTGTCGTTCATTTGCTCATCATGTTTGTGGTGGATGGATTTGGGTGCGGACCAGGTAGCAAACAACCTGGACAGTTTGAGAGATGAATGAATCGTTCTAATCTACCTCTGCCTCTGCCCTGCTTCTGAAAGGGGGGAAAAGGGACGTTTTATGTCTTCAAAGCTTCGTTGCTATTTTGGTATTTGAGAGGCTCTGCTCTGCTAACCAGGATCCTTCCTTCGATTCGGTATCAATACAGTTCACCTCTCGCCCTGTGGCCATGACTAGAGAACAGAGCTTCAAGTCCTGCCCCATTCACGCCTTTGGACTATCCTCCGTCTTCTTCTTCGAGGCCTGAAGAGCAAGTTCGGCAATCAACCGCCCTGCCTGGTCCCCCGTCATATTGTTCTGGAACCCGATCTGTCGCAAACTGCCCCCGTTCACCAATCGTTCCGCCATCGCTCTAGCCAGCTTTGTACGAGCCTCGATGACTTTGTCGTCCTGTACGCCTTTGCCTTTCCCTTTGTCAAACTTGAATTTGCCCAGGTCGAACGAGTTTGCGGCCTGTGTGAGCACGCACGGTAAGAAATTAGCAATCCGCGGGCACAACGAAACGCTCTGTGGCTTTGTCAGGGCAGTTACCTTTTCAGCGGGTTGGGAAGCTTTGTTGGCATCCATGCTTCAGCTGAACGAGAGAGATGATTCTGAGTGACTGAAGGAAGGTATTTGAGTGATTTGGGTATGCGTATCTGCGTGTGTTTGCGTGTTTGTTTGTGTGAGAATTGTGTCTTGAATTAACCAGAGGAAAGAAACTAAGGTGAGAGAAATTTAAAGGAGCGTTTTCAAGGGAGAAATGGTCTGCTTTAATATGTGACCGCGACCTTCTTAACATGAACGTTCATTCACCGACGATTTGGATGTGATTGTCTACTGCTCTCCATGGCTCTGTTCAGCCTTGGGAGCACTCCAGAGCACCCTACCCTCCATGGCTCTGTTCAGCCTTGGGAGCACCCCAGAGTACCCTGCTCTCCATGGCTCTGTTCAGCCTTGGGAGCACCCCAGAGCACCCTACCCTCCATGGCTCTGTTGAGCACCCAGAACGACTCCTTGGAAGTCCGTCAAAAGCTTCTCCAGTAACTAAGTACCTTGTCGATCGTGTCGTACATGCCACGGTCAAGCGTGCAAAACCCATCGAGGCAACGAAGTGGCTGTCCTTTGTCAACAATCCTCAACTACCACCGCTCACTGGATAAAGGATGAACTGCCTCGAGGCTGTGCAAGGCAGTCCATGCATGTCCACTGCCTCACGGCAGGTCTCCTCACTATTCGTCTCCGGTTCCATAAATATTCCTTGTCAAACATTCTCAACACTATACTTCCTCGCCACATAACAGCACAGATAATCAGCAATCAACTCGCCTACCTCCTGATTAGAATCTCCCCAAGCTCGACATAAGTCACCAATGACAGACCAGAAGGATCCAACAGCGATATCGGCCAAGGACAGCAACAACCCAGCCATGACCGATACCACCACGGCCTCAGGACAAACAGATCCGTATGCGAGCACGGTATCCTCGCCAGCGACGTCAGACGTGCCAGGAGGGACGGTGGGTACTCTGAGACGATTCATCCGATCGTTGACGTCCAGGAAGTCATTCAACGTCGCATCGGACCCGTCTCTTGTGCCCGCGCCCCTCACCATTAGAAAGCAAGCCCGAAACATCTCGGCCCCTGCATCCCTCCCGAGCAGCGACAGTGCCACCGCCGAGGCCCATCAGAACGAGCGCCATGGTCATGGCCACACCAAGCCGGAACCTGGGACCAGCAGCAGCAGCAGCAGCAGCACTTCAGGCGGTATCTGTCACCACTTCCGCAACCGACCCCGCTCGCACCAGCACGCGATCCTCGCCGCCGTGACCAGAATGGTCGCCAACGGCGAGGCAGATGTGGCTGAGATTGCAGGGGTTCTGGATATGGAACCGAGCGAGCTGGTCCAGTACATGGCGGATTTTGAGGCGTTGGCTCGAGAGGCTCCGAGCGTGGTGGACGAAGAGATCACGGCGTTCTATTCGTCGATTCCTGCCACAGTGCTGAGCGAGAGCGAGGTGGACGAGCTCTGTGGCGGCACGCATCTGAGATGTGTCGAAACGAACGAAGCTGGCGTTGTCGCCCTGACAGGGAAAGAGACAGAGACAGAGCTGGCCACGAACGAGAGGGACGACCTATCGGACGACGGGAGCGAGAGCACCGTCCGCGTGAGGCGTTTGTCCTGGGTAAGTAGCGACGACGACGACGCCGACGATGACGGCGCCGAAGTATACTACGACGCACAGGAATATCCCGACGAGAGCCCAAGTCCAAACCGCGTGCCGCCACCACTATACACTGTTCTATGGAGCAGTAGCGACCAAGACCACGCTGACAGAACCATCCACTCCCACTACCTGACACCAAGCCGCCAGGTACTTGAACTTCAACGCCGTCGACTCCCCATTCCCAACACCACTGCCACCACTACCGCAATCGTCCTCTCCATCGTCCTACCCGTTCCAGACCCAGCAGCGCCTCCTCCAGCTTCCCCACCGCCACCGCAGAAATCGCTCCTCCAGAGAATCATATCCAAGGTCCCGAACATCGTGTGGATGGGTCTGGCCGTGCTGGTCGGGCGATTTCTGGGCGTTGCGCTGTCCGAGGCGACTTCGCCGCATCATGGATATGGGTACTTGCACTCGTATTACTAGCGAGACAGGGATGAGATAGCATGGCTAAGATGGGACAATGGATTAATGGATAATGGAAAAGTGAAGATCTTTGTTCGGACGAGGAGGTACGATAAAAGGAAAATGAAAAACCCACGAAGAAAAAAACGAAAGATGCCAAAAAACAAAAAAGAAACAAAAAGTAAAAAGCAAACAAAATACAAAGAAATACAAAGCATACAATCAGTCAATCAGTCAGTCTACTCTACTCTACTCTTACTCTACTCTACTCGTAGCCGCAACATCGTATCTGTAAACTTTTCAGTCGATTGAGTACATCAAATACACACCAGGACAGATACATCCACACAACACACATACATATACCTAGGTACATACGCACATGAATTGAAGAACGAGGAACACACACACACACACACACACACGCGAGGTGAGTCTGAAGAAAAAAGGGACCAAGTCAGATCACGTGTATCCGCTGCCCACCGAGGCTCAGGCGAGGCTGGAATGCGTCAGGGGCGCACCGTGCGTTCCACGCCTCTCAACCTCTACAAATCAGTGTCAAAAAGGTCATCCTTCACATCCGCAATAGTAGAAATACCGGCCTACTGAGGTACGGACGTAGGCAGACAGCATGCAATGTGGATCTGCACTTATACTTCACGTCACTTCATGTCGCTTCACTCATTTTAACCTACGTTGCACTAACACGTCAACTCAGCGTACAGGGTATGTACTAATGTATGTACGCAGTACGTATCGGAGCCGGCCCTCAAAAGCATACATTAGACTTGCATATCACCAATCACGGTCGTGGTCAAGAATAGTCTAGAGAAGTGGATAAAGCTGTGTCATTTTGCTTTCATGCTCACGCCCAAATCTGTGCGAATGTCGTTGATGTCATGTAGAGCACTGTTTGAATTCTCTGCATGCTGTCTGGTGTCAAATGCACTCAAGTTCCCTCCAAACCCAAATCGCGTCACTGATCAAGTGCTCCATGTATGTGGTGATGATACACTTGCCAAGTCGGGATAGAAGACTGTACATGTCCCTCGTCCCATCAGTCTGTAACACGGAAACAGTGAAACTCTTCCCGAACTAGCCAATCACGTGCCGTCTGATAAGGCTATTATCATCATAATACCACCCAAGTGTCATTGATATCTCAAGCCATCCGAGATACAATCGCTCTGATTAAGCACCGAGACCTTGACCTCGTCGTTAGGTCAGTACTCGTCCATCATTTGCTCAGTCTTCCTGATCACACCGCTGAATCGTCCTGTACCGCCTTCACTCTGTCCATCTTCGACAGCGGCCCATCGCTCAAGGTTGTTGGGCCAGCCAAACGTCATCTGCCACGCCTCCTCGAGGACCCGCTTTTCGATCGGATGGATGCACTGAGTCAATGTTCCCAGCCAAGGGTATTGCTCGCCGCTTACCGAGGTCTCCTCAATCATGATCTCATCCGCGTCCGTGATATCCGAGTTTGCCCTCATCCGAAAGCCCTTTTCAGGATCAAATTCGAATAGTAGTGGCGGGACAAATCGTGCCTTGCGAACGTACAGAGCATCGTCCATGCTCGGCTCGGCGCGGACAACAGCCGCGTTTTGATTAAAGTCCGCCGCGTGTCTCTTTGGAACCGAGATCTTCACGTAGCCACAGCTGTTAAGAATGATTTGTTGGATGTGTCCACGGAATGTTGCCTGAGGCATCGGGTGAACTTTTCTGTCAACAAGGCCCGCGTCATACTTGTGTGCAAGCAGTGTCTTTCCCGGCGTAATGGCATCAAGGACTTGGACCCAGGAAGCACCGGTGGGCAAAATCTCTTGAGCCCAGTCTTCTCGAGGATGAAGACAGTGAAGACGACCCATCATATTCCACGTGGCGCGGTGATATCACCATCATGATGCGCGGTCATGCTGACCGAATCGAGGCTCAAGCAATGGAGGCTTGTGTCTCGGCTGTCCTTCATGAATCCCCGAAGCATCGATGGTGTGAACCAACAGTTTTGAAATTTGAGCTCTCGCACGTGGTCGAATTTTGTAATCAGGACGCCTTGCTTTTTACTAGCATTGTCAAACAGCCAATCTCCGGGATTGTCGACAATCGGCGCAGGCAAGACGTGCTTATTACGGGCAAACATGCCAACAGCATGTTCTCCACCCCCGGTGTAACCAATAGTCAGGCTGTGTAGACTCTCCATCTTGACAATGTATCTCCTCAGGAATTCGGTGAACTTCTCGGCAGCTTTAGATGGCAAGATCGCCATGTGCCTTGCAAATAGTCGATCCCCCGTCACGTGCTCCTGGCGCCAGTCGGGGCTGATAAGGACCTCCAACGTCGTTAGTCCAGGCAAGCTCTTCCAGAACTCTTCCAGTTCTAATGATGGAAGGAGTCCAGACGACAGTTTGCTGATCCGCAGGGTATGTATCGACTTGAAGTTCTGCTTTTGTGTGATAATCGCCGTCGTATAGGCTGACAGGAAAGCACGCTGCGCCCATACAGTCTCCATTAACCATTGCGCTTGCGGCTCCGTCAGCATGCCTGGCAGAAGTGGAGATGCACCCGGGTTAGCCATTTTGCTTTGGATAAACGTACAGTGACCACCATGCTCAGCAGCAAGATTGTGGCCACTGAAAATTAATGGCCACTGAGGTAGTTTTCTTCCTCCTTTCCGCGCATGTGCCAACAGTTGCCGCTGAATCGCAACCTGAAGGGCCCGCGAAAAATTGGGGATATCGCCATTTGCATCCATCAGGGCTTCCACTCCAGGAACTGGGCTTCCTCCTACATGGCATTCGGGGTCGTAATCGAATTGCTCGTCCTGACGTCGGAAACTCTCAATGTCTCGGATTTTGAGTCCTTCCAAGAAGCGAATTTCTCTAGCAGCGATCTCTGGGGGAGGCTGTTTCGCCATGAGTGCCTTGATGGTTCCATTGATAGTACTCTGTTGAGCCCATCTAAAATATTCATTACGAGCAAATGTAACCCAAACGTCTTCGGTCGGGAACGTCTTCCCAAAAACTTTGGACCCCTTCGTCGTTCGTCGGTCGAAAAGGGCCATATCGGAGATGTCAGGACCTTCAAGCCAGCCGTGGCCGCTGTCGATACATAATCCAAGTTCTGAGGCCTTAGTTATGTGGCTAAGCGCTTCTTTGAGCAATGGGCGGTTATGGTCGACCAGGTCCTCAATTGCCTGCAGTTCTGGAAAGCGTGGATACTGTTCAGTAGGCCATGTGAACTTGCCGAACCATGCGACTTGTTCCTTTTCAATGGTTTTCGTCTTAGCACGTGACAAGCCTTGCAGATCGTACTCGAATGACACGCCAAATTTGTTCATATTCACGCCATACTTCTTGAACATCGAGTCAGATGGGAGGAGCCCCAATCTGCTATTCCAGTCGCTGCTGCCTGCGTCGAAGAAGTGTCTATCAAAGTTGACCACAACATTCCTGAACTGAATTGGAGCTATGACTCGTGCGAGAGACTTGCTGACCAGTCGGAGATTTCTCACATCTTGCGTGGAGAGATAGCTGGTAACTTCTGTCCACAGATCGGCATCAATCTTTTGTAGGACGCTGGATTCTGGCTTGAGGGATTTGACGGCTTTAAACGAGCGTGCTCTAGTCGAACTTGTTGATATCGGAGACAGGCTAGGAGGTATCGAGGGTTTCCAGAGGCGGGGATATTGTTTTTCGGGGACTGGATCAGGAACGTCCTCCAGACTCTCGGCCGGGTGAAGGATATCGTCAATGGTGAACGCAAGCCGTGATCCCCTCCTGGCAGCCATAGCCGCGTAAAGAGGAGTCCTTTCGGCATGGCTTAAACGCGTTCGTTCTTGTGGTTCAGCCGGACTGTTCCCGACCCAATCGTTTCCAGCCGAACTGTTTCGCTTCGCATGCTTCACCTGGTGCATAAACTGCTTCTTTTCGCTTGGTGGTATGGTTTCGGGAATAAGGCTCGAATATTTGAAAGAAACGAGTGGTGAAGATTGGTCCTCCGACCCAGATTGTACGACGTCGTTAGTCGGAGGGGGCCCCTTCAATGAAGCCTGGCGGTCCCGGACACAATGAACAGAATTGTGAGATGATGCTTGAAGAACCTTGTTGCCCGTGGGCTCTTGCGCACGCGAAGAGGGAAGACAGTCTACGGACAAGGTAGGTTCGTTCTCGGACTGGGAAATTGAATGAGACGCTGGAGTTCCCTCGTGTTTGAGGGTGCCAGGATGATGAGCCTCCGCACGAGATGCTGAGATGTCAGTACTCATTACAGCTGATGAGCCTGAAAGTGAGAGGGCCTTGGAGTGTCTTCTCTGACGCAGCCTTGCACGCAAGGGGCTAATAGAATCTTCGTGAGCCGTGTTTCTGACAGCCATTCTCTTGCTTTTGGTGTGCTCTTCGAATGTGGTTGCCCTAGAGTGACTCGCGCCGCTTGGTAACGAAGTGGCGGCATCTTCTAAATGGGAGTTTTGCTGAGGTAGGTCTGACAGGAATGGGATTGGTTGTGCTTGCTGAAAGAGCGTAGGCTTTTTCTGATCACTTGCAACTTGGTTCACCTGGCTGAGAGAGCCTTTGCGAGCCAGGCGCTGCGATCGTCGAGTTGCCAACGCCCCAGCAGGAGGGAGACCGTTGACTCGCTCAGTGAGCTCTGGAGCAGCAGATGGTGAGAAGAGACCATGCGTCGTTGACGGAGCACTGCTGGGATGAAGCAGGCCAGATGTCTTGTGTTCGAGCGTCTCCTTCTGTTTCCCTTTCCCTTTCCCTTTGGCCGCTTTGGCGTCGCGTTCACGCCTCAGCTTGTCCACCTCTGCCCGCAAATATTCAACCAGGGTATTAGGACCAAAGTCGGTCGTAAAGGGAAGGTAGGCAGGGTCGGCTTCGGTTTCAGTGAGGCAGCCTTTCTTCTTGACGACTTTGACAGCGGAGGAGGCCCGGCGCTCGGTGCGAGCCAGCAGCGAAGTGAAATCATCGGTTTCCCCCTCTGCAACTTGCAAAGCAGGGGCATGTTCGCCGTCTCCCGATTCGTTCAGTCGCGGAGGGCGTCGGAGGCTCATTGTTTCGGCTGGTCGAGGGCACCAACAGCACAGACGAAGAGACGGGCATTGGTGTTATTTAATCATGTCGCTCGGAGGAAATCAATAGGTAGGTCCCGGTAACACAGACAAGTCGACCCTGTAAGAAAAAACTTAATAGTCAACAAAGGCCAGTGAATGAATTGTGGTAGAATAGGTTGCTCTTTTTTTTTCTCCAACCACATCCACGTCTTTGCAACTGCGCGGTTGTCGACGGGCAGAATGCGCCCCGCACATGCTACGGAATAATAATTTACCATCCCCAGCCTTGGCGCCTCCCAGCCTCAAGCGTAATCCTCGACATTGAATTGGACGACGCCGATCTTGTCCAGGATTCGTATACAAAGCATCTCGAACTAAGCTCTCACTCGTATTCAACCTTGTCCTGTAACCTCTATCGAGCCAGGCAAGCTTAATGAAGCAGACTTCTATCCTGGATATCAAAGGCTTGTCTCCTTTACTAGTCGAAGTAGCATTCCGAGTTCCCCATGTATGCATTCTTCTCTTCTCCACTAGTAGCACAATACCACGACTGCAGCAGCATATCTCGGTAATAACGGACTTTGTCTGTCCTTGAAATCAGACGCGCAATGCTGCGCTTCAGTATATATGCATGTGTCCGTCTCTTCTTAACTTCCTGCCGCAAAATGCACGAAGGCGGAGGCTACAACGGTGGGCTACAAAAGTGACCAAGCAAGAGCAGACTTCGATTTTACACCCTTCTTACTCGGACGGTAGTAACATCTTCGCAATCAGTATCTAGCCATGCCGCACTCGAACATTGCAGCAATCCTCCCGTTTCCCAAAGCGCCCACTCTCACCGTTTCTCCTGCCCCCTACTCACCTCCATCTCCTGGCGAAGTGGTTATCAGAGCTCACTCCGTGGCAATAAACCCTGCTGACTGGGCAATCCAACGGCTCGGTATCCTCATCTCAGCAGAGGACGGCTACCCATGTATCCTCGGATGCGACGTTGCTGGGGAGGTGGTTGAGCTTCCCCAGGAAGGACAAGCAGATGAACGCATCTCTAAACTTAAGATTGGCGATCGTGTAATCGGCCAAACATCGCCACTAAGGGTCAAAGATTGGAAAGACTCGGAGCTCAATGGGGATGACCTCGAACAATGGCGCGGGAAAAAGGTGTACGCCTACTCTTCCTTCCAAACGTACGTGGTTCTTCTATCGCCGTTCGTGGCAAAGATCCCCGACAGCATGACCTACGAAGAGGCGGCCGTATTGCCGCTCGGCGTGACCACCGCCGCAAGTTGCCTTTTTCCAGAGGTGATGCTGGGATTGGACATGCCTCCCATGGAAGGCACAACCGTGAAGAACAGCAAGACCCTCGTGGTCTGGGGAGCCTCATCAAGTGTGGGCTCCTGCGGCGTCCAACTCGCCGCGCTGGCGGGCTACACGGTTGTCGGTGTCTGTTCACAGAGAAACCATGACATGGTCAAGTCGCTGGGTGCGGAGGAATGCTTCGACCAAGGAGACTCAAACATCGTCGAGTCCGTGATCTCATACCTCAAGAGTCAAGGCCAAGAGGTCGTTGGGGCGTACGATGCCATCTCCACGTCTCCGACACTGCAACCTCTCTGTGAGATACTTCACGGATGTGGTGGTCGCAAGTTCATCGCCTCGGTCTTCCCAGGCGCCGAACAGCACGCCAAACACGAAGTGTCGATTGTGACCAACCTGGCAACGGTGGGTGACTTTGCCACTGGTCTCGCGCCAGCGATATGGAGTTGGCTCGAGGCCGCCCTGGAAGACCACCGGATGCAATGCATGCCTCCGCCTGAGCTTATGGGAACAGGGCTGGAGAGTGTCCAGGCAGCAATGGAGGAACTGGCTGGGGGAACTGTGAGCGGAAAGAAATTAGTGGTCCGTCTCTAAGGGTGATCGAGATACAGCACGTTGCACCACGAGAGGCTAGAAAACACGCATCTAGAAGAGAGCACGAGTGACCCAAACTCAAGACGAGGATAGGAAGAGAATGACTCCCTGGGTGTTCTGGAATGGGGGCAGCTGGGGGGGAAGGGAGACAAGCAACGCAAACAGAAATTTGTTGACATTTGTGAGCAGCCCGCTACTGCATGCAAGCACATGTGGGGTTCTACACTGACGCAGTTAATCACACAAAAAGTTACCAGCCCATGGAGTTTCATATCATCTTTTCTCATTCGTATGCTGTCTTTCAATGCTAAGGCAGAGCACAAGAGCAACTCCAAACTTGCAGCCACAGGGTATCTCTATGCACATGGAAACTTCCAGCCAACACCATATCATGAAGCTCAAGCCATAACAGCAACTAATGCTTGGTAGAATCCCATATGCTCGTAATCATGCTAGTTCACTCGTGCATGAGTTCCACCACCCATTGTCCAATAGATGCACAAAAAATCAACGCTAGTGCCCACGATCGTCGTTATTTAACGATTATGCATTCCATTGTTGCTTTGATTCCATCTCTCGAAGTTTATCTTGTCCCAATCGCACGATGCTTCAAGTCTCGAATAGAAGCAAGGTCTGGCCGAATAGGTTCACATGATCTTGGCCGATAGCCTCGGGGGTTCCGTCAACATTAACCATGTTCACTGAAGCCTTCGTTGTTAGACCATACAAGCTGAGATTGGATGAGCATTGAATGTCGACCATGTTTTCCTGACATGACTCTGTATCCAAGCATGTTTGGAGGTAATTGTCAAAGAAGCTGTAGAGCCCTGCGCCATACATGTGAAGACCACTTGAGTCCACGATCCGCAAGCCCCAGGCCTTCTTGCACGAGTCAGTGGTGCAGTCGGCAAAAGTGGGGTCTGAGAATGCCGAATTCGGTGGAAACCCTCCCAAGGCGTTGGGAGTAGCTTGCATATAGGGTGTTTCTGTTTGAATCGCACCCATGAAGATATCCCGAGCACTGGAAAATTGATAGTTGTAAAGCTGATTGTGCTCTGATGACGTTCCGTACAGCCAGACAGGACCTTGGCTCTCAACCAGCAATCCACGACCGTTGTAAATGTTGGTCTGGTTGTGGGCGGTGATGTCAAGCTCATGGTCAGCTACCCAGAACCAGCAGTTCTCCAAATAGGCGGAGGCTTGCTGAGTGATGTGCATCAGTAAGAAGGAGCCTGCACACTGGGGCTTGAATTCAAAAGAGCCAGTGACGTTAGCCTGGCATGTATCTTGTTGCAGCTGAGTTCCTGCAGTCCCTCCGATCCGGAAGTGGACATCCCACATGCCACAAGAACCCTGAGACGCTTCCGCAACATTCCACTGCATCATGATAGCACCAGGAGCGGGCCCAAGAGTCTCGAAAACGAGGTCCGTTATCTCCACAGAACCGACATCTCCTTCATTCCCGACTTGAAAGACGGGCATCGGGTTGTTGACATCTGAGAACGCCGAACCTTGAGCCATAATGAGAGGCCAGATTTCTCCAGTGATGCGGATGTTGGAGGGGACCATGACTGTGTTGCTAATGACATAGGCGCCGTGGTCGAAGTACACGACCTGGTCGGGAGTGGCATTATTGAAGATGTTTTGAATTGCTGCAGTGTCGTCGGTTACGCCGTCGCCTTTGGCTCCCGCCGATTTGACGCTGACAAAGGACGACACCGGAACACCTTGGTATTGAGGCTTGGAGCGCTCAAAAACCTTATTCCCGTTCATCAGAGACGAGGCCATGCTGGGAGCAGTCAGCGGTTGTTGAACACGTGCCGATTTCAACGACACCGTGGTTGGAGAGCATGTGCCAGGAGTTGGTCCAGATGACAATGTAGGCTGAGATCGTGTAGCATTAGCCGACAAGCTTGAGGAAGCGTTGCCAGCAGCTGTCGGAGACGCAGTGACATAGACAGTGGTGGTTGTGAGCAATATGCCACTGGGTGGTGGTATGGCCGAAACGGTGAGCGTAGTGGTAGTCGTCGAGTAGTACGAGATTGACGGAGGCTGGAAGGACAAAGGCCCAAGTTGCGGTTCTCTCTTGACGTTTTCCGACGATCCACTAGCAGGAGTATAAGAGTCACCTTGACCCCAAGATTCCACAACAAAGCCGCCAGCCAGGATCGGAGTAGTCCCGTCTGCACCAACAATAGCCGTCTGAACCCCAGTGAAGTCGACATTCTGCAAGGCCAAGGTCCCTCCAGTAGTGGGCTGGCTGCTCATATTGTACGAGGTTTTTATACCAATCGGAGTGCCAGTCATGGCACTGTCAAGAAGAATCACAGACCCAACAGTCTGGTTAACTCCATTGTTCAAGTTCGACATGTCGATGCCGACGTCACATTGGTTGATTGTCACTGATTTCAAAGTCCACAACCAGTTCCAATTCATGAAAATGGCAGTGTTGCACCCGTTGAAGGTCATATTGCGCGTGGTAAATTGTTGGTTGCCTAAGAAAGCGCCGTAATTGCCACCATTGAATACAAGATCCGACATGAAGCCTCCGGAGCCGTTGTCCATGAAAATCCCTTGCTGTTTATTGGTGGGGCTCTTTGGGCGCATGTTGAACACAATATTTTGAAGACTGGTGGCTTGTGCAACCTGCCAATGAATGCCCGCTCCCTGGTCTTCTGGCATCTGGGAGATATCGACAATGAAGTTGCGTATCTGTCGATAGAAATTGTTTTGATTTGTATACCACTGAGCACCATTGCCACCTGGGATGTAAGGATCGGTATCGAGTACAGCCAGACCTTCGAAGCTAGGTAGGGCAAGGACAGTGGGAATATTGACCGCATCGCCGACAAATTGGGTATAGTAGAGCTGAATGATGGGAGCTGAGACAGCGTAGGTACCAGGTGGAAAATAGACGAGTGCAGGGGCAGTGGTAGAGCTATCGCAGCCTTGTCCGCATCGCGACCCATCAGTAATGGCATTGTTGATGGCAGTGGTGTCATCGGTCACACCGTCGCCAACTGCGCCATAGTCTTTGACATTACGGAAGATCTTGTAGCCGGGGTTGGAGCCGTAAGCCACGGTGCCTTGTCGCTGGATCTGGGAGAGCCAATACGAGGACGCCGCTTGTCGAGATTCGATGGGGGCGCGTGTCGGGATGGCCCTGGCAAGCCAGGCTAGGAGAATGAGTAGAAAGGGGAACAGCATGTTTGTCGTCGATATTGAGGCGATTCTTTTGCTGTGACAAATTTGCGAAGTAGTGGTTTCGAAAAAGTCCTAGGACTGAATGGGAATTCTTTATAACGTTTGAGGTGACCAGCACCAGACAAACGAGGTCGAGGCAGTTGTGAAAGGCAGCGATCACCGGGTCGGCAGCTTCAACAAGCGTTTCAACAGTGGTGACAAGGGTGTAGTAAATTGTGGAATTGGTCGTGTGAACTGTGCACCGAAGAACGGAAGGCAGGATGAAGAGGCAGGCACGGGTTCAGTCGTGCAAGTGACGAAGGGGTTTCGAATAGTGATGAATCAGAGTGAGAAGCACAATTGATAACGGACAATCGTAACTGCGATCTCACGCGTAAACAGACAATTGTTGTTGCAGAGGGTCCGGTAGCGACAACGAGCGAGTCTGTGAGAAGGGCAATTCTTCCGAGGCCTTTCTCTCTTTCTCTCTTCCTTCTTCTTTCTCTGCTTGAATGAGTGACAAAGATGTCCTCGGCCCACGAGAACCGACTTGAAGGAAACAAAGCAATATGACGAAGAAATCCGAAGACCGAGCGAATGAATCAAAGAAATGGTAAGGGACAACGAGCGCACCCTTGGAATCTGCTGAATGAGCGACAGACAGAATGAGAAGAGAAGGACTTTGGTGTTGATGATATCGCGCTGGCAGGCGTTTGTTCGCACAACTCGCACGCGCACAGCACAACGCAGCAGGAACACAAGACGCTGGCAGTCTCACAGAGAATCCCGGTTTTCTTTTCAACCCTGTTTGACCTCTGCAGTCAGTCTAGCGGTGTCGATCACTTGTACGTACTCGGTACTCTGTGCACGACGTCAGCCAGCCAGCCAGCTGCTTTGGGTGCGTTAGTTGCTCTTTGTCCTAATTTCGCAACACGCCGTCTTTGACCCATCTTCTGTGGACTCCTGCTGTCCTTTTTATTTCACTTCTGCTGGCTGAACAAAGGGGTACCAAGCAGGAAGCCAGTGTCTCCGATCTTTCACTGCCGACATTACCTCCTGGACCAGCTGTCCCGGTGAAGCTAGGTCAATTCGCGCCGCTCCGCCTCGAAGCACCCGCGTGGTAGGGGATCCAAAAACAAGCAATTCTGGACCACCCGAGACATCTCATTCGTTGGACACGGCGATCCTGCAAGCTCCTTAATCCGCATAGAGCTTCCTCTCCACTCTCTGAGTTATGAACTCGGAAAGGTGGCGCGGGCGAAGGAAAAGCTGTCGAGAAAGAAGGAGGAAGATGACACGAAGCGAAGGGGGTTCGAGATGCCAGCAAATTGGCCGATGACATCTTCTCCGATTGGCGGAATCAGCGCCAGGGGTATGAAACCTTCGAAACGTGCTAGGTTTGACAAACGGAGCACTTCGGGTAGTGGGAGTGGCGCTGTCGAGGCTTGACTGTGTGGCTGGCTATTGCTTCGACATGCTGCAAGAATGTGAAGAGATTACTGGGATAATTGGCCGAAGGACCAGGTACGGCAACGATAAAACAGGGATCAGAGCCAAGTTTGATATTTGACTGGTTGGCTACCCCGAGCACTGACAAGTCATATTCTCATATTCCTCATCAGAATTCACGTCCATTGTCACCACAGCTCATCCTCTACCAGATCTCATTGCTTCTAACTCGGTTTCAATCACCCCGGCCAATCGAACGATACCCTCCTCGATTACATCCAAGTCTTCCCAGGCATAGCACAAACGGAGATTCTGTTCAAACCGCGCTTCCTTGATTTTTCCATCTCCGTCCACCTTGAACATAGGTCCCGCAATTACAGTCAAGTTCGCTTCTTCCAACGCTCGTTTGTAGATGAGCGTCGAATCCAAATGGATAGGCAGGGTCAACCAGATGAAGTAGCCTCCAGCAACATCCTTATTCGCCTGAGGCACAGTCACGCCCAATGGTAATAGGTGTTGCTCGACTGCTCGCATCATCCAATGGTATCGTTGCGCATATGCTGGCTGCAATTCCTGTAGGATATGGTTTTGCAAAACTCCAGTGGACATCATCTGGGAAATGAAGGAAGCAGCCAGATGAGAAGGTGCACCTCCCGAGCGACTTGAACCTGTTTGTGACAACCCATAGACGAACGCGGGAGTCCCTTCAGTCCACCCTGTTCGACAACCAGGCCCAATAATTTTGCTAAAGCTCCCATTACTCACCGCATGCCCATATTCGTCGACTACTCCGCCATCCAATTCCCGGTCAACATCAACTATTCGTGGCAGGACGGCTGTATCCATCCCATGTGAGCCCGCCTTGGGGTCAGAGGGCCACTGAAGCATGTCGTAGACGTCGTCAGTGACAATGAGAGCGTCGTACTGCCGAGCCAGACGAACAAGGGCTCGGCGACGCTCAAGACTCATTATTCGACCTGAAGGATTAGAGAATGTTGGTACTGCGTAGATGACGTGCTTATATATCTTTCTCCACGGCTTAGGCGACTTGAATCGGGGCGATGAATTGTCTTCAGCCATTGCACGCGCCTCGCTCTCTTGAATGGCTCGCTGGAGGTACTCGATGTCGATGCCTTCGGCATCCTCGGGTACAGCCTTTAACCTGTTGTCAAAACCAGAGTCGTTGAAGATCCTGCAAGCCAAATAATAAGTCGGTGCCACCATCCAGACATTGCGAGTATAGACTGGGTCAGTGAAAGTCTGCAAAACGCAGGCTAGATTCTGGCTGGCACCGCCACTAATGCATATTCTCTCGCTTGAGATTATATCCTTTGGTCTGTAGAAACTATTGAGCCATTTGGCAATTTCCACCCTGAGCGGCTGGTAGCCTTCGTCTGGACCATAAAACAATACATCCGAGTTGGCGGGATCGGATAATATACGTTTGGAAGCCAGCTCCAGCTGATGGAGCGGCAGGAGGCTCGTGTTTGGCCAGCCCTTGAGGAAATCAATATGCCTGGTTTTGGGTACCTTGGGAGGATGTGCGCGGAGACTGGCCCTCAATGTCATATTGGGCGCTATCGAAACGGGATGTGCCCGGAGATGCAGGTTCAGTGGTTTCGCCAGCTGTCGACAATAATATCTCCACATGCGTTTCTGAGCCCAAGAAGATTATGTCCGCATTTAAACACACCGAGATAGGTGCACGCGGTGTGTAATCCCTCTGCACATGGTCAGCAAGTCGAGGTCAGAATTTTCCTTTGCTGCTTAAAGCCACTGATCCCGTCAAAGGCGGCCCTGTCCCCATTTGGCGTCCCCATTGGTGTCTCGCTAAGGTTGAACGTTAGTGGTAGCTCAAGCATCGCCTGCAGTGGATGGTCCCTTGATCTAGGCGACAAAAGGCAAAGGTTGCCACTGAAAACTGGAGATGTCGACGTCAACGTCAACGGTAGAGGTTGAAAAGCGAGCGTGGGTGACGCAGACACATTGTCTCTTCTGACCAACAAATCCAAAAGGATGGCAGAAGCGGTCGAATTCCAACAATTGATGGGGGGACAACATGCGACGTCTAGGCGTCTCCAAGAGAGGATCGCGGACCTCATCCTTGTCCTTCCGGATGCACAAGTCTCCATTCACCTGCTCATCATTCTCACTACGACTAGCATCACCGCCCACCTCGTTACATGGCAGGATTATTTGCCTCACCTATTCACAGCCACTCACCATACGCACACATGCGGCTCACCTGTCATCCCCCTTGCAAACGCTTTTCCGGGGTGTTAGGACATGCATGACCTATCTGATTTACCCTTTTCATTCTCTGACCCTCTTAGACCCTCGAGTTTCCTACCCGGTAGTCACCTCTCCTTGAATATGGTGACACGACAACACATTGAGCTGTATTTAGCAACCTGGAAAAGCTGCGCCATTCATCACGGGCACAAGTGACCTGCCGCCATGACATTCACTGGTCGAAGAGCTGAATAGCATCACATTCGTTAATTGGCCTGAGCGGGAAACAAGAAGGAATATATCAGATCTCCTTGGGGAATGTGTCCGTGTGTTTAGAGGCGGCATACCAGCAACATGGCGAAGCGGTTGTCATCCTTATTTTCTCTATCGCGCGATTCCGCCGACAAGATCAATCCCGATTCACCTCCAATGATGCCCACTGCGACTACTGTTTCTCCTCATATTGCACCTCAGTCTGCTAGCCACGCTATATCACACAAACTGCACAAGCACCGCATTACCTCTTCATCCGAGGTCGATCTCAACGCTGACTTGCCCCCACTTGCGCCTCCTCCTCTTCTCTCCGACTCTGGCGCAGTGCGTCCTCCGAGCAGCCATCATAGCGCAGCCGATAGTGTTCCTGGAAGTCGGAATAGCAGTCCCCATAGTCTAGTGCGGAGCAGGGATGCTAGCAGAAGTCGACCTCAGACGCCCAACTTGTTGATACCACCCGGTACGGCTGGCTCCCCGTGTCATCCTGCGACTCCTCCCTCCGCAAAGATTGCAAAGAAGAAGAGTTGGCTCCATGGAAAAGCAGATAAACACAAATTTACCGACGGCGAAGGGCCTTCCAAGGCGTGGATCGCTGGCTTACGGGAGCATGTTGCATACGACCTCACGCCGCTGTTGAAGGGTGATAGAGTTACGGAACTCTGGAGTGATTATGGCGATACAGTCGTATACCTCTATCCCCCGTCCTCGGGAAAAGGGCCTTGTTTCCGTATCGACTCTACTCTTCTCGCCGACTCAAGGTCGCTCGTCAATCTGCGGATGAATTCTCCAACGTCACCAGTGGAGAGGAACAGCGACATTCCTCAGATGCAGACAGCGTTCTCAGAAATGTCAATGAGCCCAATGCATCCACGTCCATCGTCACAAGGGAGCTCAATTTACCGTCCCACAAATTTCTCTGTCCCCAATATCGTCACTTCAATCAATCAAGAAAAGCATGTCTATCTGCCCCTTGGGTTTGAAGTAGACATATTGCAACCAGGGACAGAGCTGCACGGGGATGATCTCGAACTTGTAGTCCTTTATCGCAATTTCTTTGCCTTTCTCGCTGG